TTGTTATCCAGCACCCTATCCTGATTCACGACAACAAAATCCTCCAGACTTTCTAGAGGACACACCTGCCCTAGCCATATCAGACACACTTTTGACCCACATAATATGAACCAGGGTTTTACGCTCCACTCCAAGTTGGAACTTATATCTCGTTATATGGAACTTGTTATATAAAGTACAGGTTTTATATGGATTTGAGCTCCACATACCTAATTTTTATTGGCGCAAAACCATGCATAATTTTAAGGAGCAATTTATATGGGTTATAACCTGACTTCTTAAAGGAAAAGACATTTAGTTTAATTGCAGTTCTCGATAAATATTTGCTGAATTGAAGAGACCAATGGGATACTAATCAGCATAATGGTCTGTAGTAGTTTGCTGCAGGGCTCTGTCCTGTCTAATGTTATCAAAACTTGGATGAAGACAGGAAGCACTCTCAATCCTCATTCTCCTTGACATCTCTGCAGCATTTGACACTGTTGATCTCCTTCTCCTGGCCATCTCTCTTCTTTGGGTTTTCAGGACAATTTCTTGGTTCTCTTCATACCTGCCTGCTCCTTCTCAGTATCCTTTACTGGATATCAGCCACAATACAGCCCCCAACTGTAAGTATACCATAAAGTTCTATCCTATATTCTTTTCTCTTCTCTCATTATAGCACTGTTTCCAAAGACAGTTTTGTTAGAAAGACAGAAGAGTTCTTCTGCAGACCCACAGACTTCCACATCACCCAGGACATGCCTCTAGCTACGGTATGCTGCCTATACTTCCCCTGCTATGGTCTGACCTGAGCAAAGTATAGCATGACCATACACCTTCTTATTATTCCTAGAATCTATATTGCTCTTAATGCAGCCCAAGATCATACTAGGTTTTCTAGCTGTCACATTACATTATTACTGATATTTGGCTTATGGTCCACCAAAACCTCCACAACACAAATATTTCAACATAGTGCAAACAGGTGTAAATGAGAAACTAAACTTTTGTGAGCACAGTTTGTTTTTAAAATGTGCGCAAGTATACATATAACATATAATTTAATAAGATAACAAAACTATTTATGTCCCCTTCTGCCCTTTCTCCTTCAAACTAAACATGCTTTTACAATCTTATATTTGTAAATTTGATTTTTTTTATCCTAGTGTAATAGTTTATATTTACTCATAGTAAATTTCATTTCATGAAATTTGGCCCCAAATTCTAGTCTTTTAAGATCTTTTTAGATCCTGACTCTGTTATTCATTGTGCTAATGATTCCTCCCAGTTTTGTGACATATGTAAATTTAATAAGCATGTCATTTATGGTTAATCCAAGTTAATGATAAAAAATGTTAAATAGTACAAAGCTAAGCTCAGATCCCTGGGGGTACTCCACAGGAGACTTTCTTCCAAATTAACAATAAACCTTTAATGATAGGCCATTTAACCAGTTATGAATCCATAGAATTGTACTGTTGTCTATCCCATATCTTTCCATTTTTTCTACAAGAATAGTATGAGTCAAGGTAAGTGGAAGCTAAGAATGCTAACAAAATCTTAGATAACATTAAAAGAGGCATGGCTTCTAGCCCAGGAAAGGCTAGACTCTGCCTTGGTAAGACCACATTGGGAGTATAGTGATCAGTTTTGGGCAGCGCATTTTAAGAAGGACATTGATAAACTGGAGAATATCCAAAGGAGGAAAACCAGTATGGTAAGGGGCTTTAAGTTGATGACATATGAGAATCTGTTGAAAGACCTGGGAATATTTAGCTTAGAGAAGAAAAGACTCAGGAGGGTCATGATAGGTGTCAAGAATTTGAAAGGTTATCAAGCATGATTTTTTAAAAACAATTTTTTTTCAATGGTAAGGGATAGGAAAGAAAGAAAATAGATGTTTGTTCATTGAAAAAAAATGAAATTTAGTTTAAAAAAAAGAAAGACTTTCATGTAGAAAGGGAATTCAGTTTGTTTTATTTGATCACAAAGAGCAGAACTAGCAATAAGGGCTGGAATTTTCAAAGAGGCAAATTTAGGTATGATTTAAGAAGAAATTTCCTTACAATTAGATCTATTCAAGAGAGTGGCGGAGCAGTAGATAGAGCTCTGGGACTGAAATCAGGATTACTTGAGTTAAATCTGACCTCAGACAGCTGTGTGACCCTGGGGAAGTCACTTCACCTCTGTTTGCCTCAGTTTCTTCATCTGTAAAATGGGGATAATAATAACACCAACCTCCCAGGGTTGTTGTGAGGATTAAATAAGATAAAAATTGCAAAATTGCACTTATTAAGGTGCCTGGAACATAGTAAGCCCGATATAACTGCTAGCTCTCATTTTTTAAATTATAAAATTGGAACAGATTGACTTGAAAGGTAATGAGTTTTCTCCTCACAGATAATCCTTAGACAATAGCTGAATAACCATTTGTTGGGTAAATTGTAGGAGGCACTCTTTTACAAGTATAGATTGAACTAGATGTTCACCGAAATTCCTTCCAACTCTGAGATTCTATATTAAATTTTATTAGCTCTACAATGAGAATTTTAGCAGCATATTAGATGATTAGTGACCAAATCCTTCAGCAATCAGCAGAGCATAATATACAAACATTTTGTGTTTGTTTTTGTCTGAACCTATGAGTTCATCAATGTAGGGAGCTGCCAGTATGCAAAATCCCTCTGTAAATACAAATGATGTATATTTTTTTAATCCTTGAGAATTTCCCTGGGCACCAAGGGCTAATTTAAGTTACCTGTCTATAGTCACATAACAAGTATGTGTCAGAGACAAGATTTGAATCCAAGTCTTCCTGACTTTGAGGTCTCTATTCTCCTTGAGGACATTAAGGACTAGACCACCATATTCTGCCTCTAGCCTTATGATTTCAAAATAGTACCGGAAATAGTACCGTAAAGCACTGAGTGACATCATGACCAATTAGAATGGAAGCTCCTTGAAAGCAGGAACGGTATTTCTTTCTTTCATTCTTTGTATCCCCAGGACTTAGCACAGTGCCTCAAACATAATGAGATGAACAAATGCTTGATGCTTGACTTGTTGATATGGCCAAAGTACTGGAGTTAATTAGATGCCTGCACCCCAAGGTACCCTGAAGCCCAGGAGTCCAAGAAAATCATCCTGGATTTCCCTATCCCTGTGGTCTATATGCTTTCTGTGCCTACAGGGTCCCTGGCCACATGCCACCCTGTGTCCCTCTCCTAGTCTGTCTGCTTTTGTAGGACATGAAGATATTAGTTCTGTAAGTTCATCTGTAAGATGAAGGCTGTGTCCTGGATCTGGTGTAGAGTATTTTCCTTAGGTTTTCCCTTAAGGACCTCCTATCAAATATTTCAAATAAACAGGCTATTGTTTAGTTTTACAAAAAAATTGAACTTGGGTAGACCTTAAAGGTTTTAGAAGTCCAACTATACCTCATTTCTGTAAATCCTACCTACTTGAGGGAAGCATGGTGATCTGGGAAAATTAAATTATAGACTAGATATAAGCATAATTCTTTTTGACCACCACCAGCAGTGGGATATCAACTATGCAATGAAGTACCATCTATCAAACTATTTCTCTAAAGCAGAACTGTCAAACCAGAAGCCCACAGGCCATAAGTGGCCGACCTGAGTGACTACTTAAACCAAATTGAGAAATGTTTTACAAAATAAACAAAATACAATACAAAAAACACAGGTAACATTAGTTTGTCTTTTTCTAAGTCAATAAATTTTCATTTTAATTTTACACGGGATGAAACCAGTAACTGCTATTCACCCTTCAAGTAATGCAGTAATACAAGAAACACTTGCTTGTGAGTAGCTGAGGATGCCTGCAGCAGTCAAGTATTTCATATCTACAAGCCTGTTGTTCAGATGATTATCTCTGTTGTTGCTGCTACATTCCTTAAGCTCCCACAGTGGGCTCAGTAGCACCTGATGATTTTGTACATGTCACTTAACTTCTCTGGACTTCTCCACCAGCAAAATGAGAGAGTGGTACCTACATCTCTTCTAGCTTGAAATCTTCTCACATAGGCCTCTCTCTTCTCCACACCCACACCAGTCCCCTCCATAAAAAGAGTGAGGGACAAGTAATTGTCATTGCCAAAGCTTAGTTTGATTGAAATACATGGTTTGAGGTCTAAGAGCTTCCTTCCAGAAAGACAAAATTATAAAATCCTCATCAATGGGATATGGGCAAATAAGAATAAAACAAAACAATGAGGAGAAATTTAGTTGGCTTTTCTGCTAAAAATAATAATAATAATAATGTGTTTAGATAAAGGGAGGTTGCCTGGTATAATGGTTCAGGCAATGAATTTTTTTCAAAGCCAAAAGAACAGAATTCAAATCCCTAATCTGACACTTATTGATTACTGTGTGACCTTGGAAAAGTCACTTAACTCTTTGGGACCTCACTTCTAAGTAAGGTTGGACTACATGGCCTCAGAGATACTTCTCAGCTCTAAATCTAGAGACCTAAGAAAGCTGGAGCCCTGAGAGCAGGTTTAGACAATGTCTTCCTTCCAAATCTTTTTCCACTTACCCTACTTTTTTTTTTGTAGGCAATTGTCTATTAAGTGACTTGCCCAGGGTCACACAGCTAGCAAGTGTCAAGAGTTTGGTCTGAGGCCAGATTTGAACTCAGGTCCTCCCGACTTCAGGGCCGGTGCTCTCTCCACTGCGCCACCTAGGTGCCGCCTCCCAATTACCCCATTTTTATATCTGATAGGGGAATAAAGATGAAGAGAAGAAATAAAAGAAAAGATTCGAGGAGAAGAATTTAAAGGGTAAAATGCCTTTGTAATTTATCATATTACGATAGGTTTCTTTCCCTGAGGCTCCTATATCGATGGAGCAATGGGAAAGACAGTCTAGGGCAAGCAATACCAGATTCCTGGGACTGAGACTTTACTTTTTCTCCAATATGTGGTGCCCCCCCCCCAAAAAAGGCAGAATTTATTATTAAAGAACCTTCTAAAAACAACGTTTTTCAGTGTTTCTCACCAAAGTCTTCCGTCCGTTGAGCTGCCACCTTCTCCCCTACCCGCCCACCTCAGACTTCGCTCTCCAGTTTGGCAATTTCCAAGCTGTACGTGCAGACTGGAATGAGAGAACTCTACTTTCAGTAGAAGATCCTGCTGACCAAGCGGAAAACCGGCGGGACACAGGGGCTTTCCCAAAGAATAGAGTGGCTTTTCCTGAAGCCATGGGAGGAGTTCCCCAATCGATCGCCTTGCTTCTTTAAGATTCGAGAGCGAAACTTTTCTCCCACTGTCCACACAACTAGCGCAGCATCCCGACCGTCCCTTCTTAGGAGGAGGCGTCTTCCCGGGGTGGAGACCTGGAGGTTGGCTTCGTACACAGCGAGCGGGGGCAGAGAGGCTGAGATCGCTGAACCACAGGGTGTGAGGCACTGAATCGGGTGATCCCTGCGGGAGGAGCAAGGAGGGGAAGGAAGAGGAGGCTGCGCTGAGCGGCCACTGCCAGGCACGTCCTCTCTCACGTGCGGATCCGGGGCTGGGGAGGTTTTTAAGCTACTGACGTAGCCTGACAATCTTGGGAAGGGAGGAGCGGTCAGAGCCGGAGCCAGACTCAGACAGTGTTCGGGAAGAATTCTTCAATTTCCTCCGAGGGTGGAGGGGAGCGGGGAAGGCCTCGGGTGGAGAGAAAAAGCATACATCGAGGTCGAAGCAGCTTTGGTGGGAGTCTGCTCTCGCTTTCTGGGGAGCACTTTCGGGGCTGCGGACGGGTCGAAGCACTGTGGAGGCTGTTTGGTTGCAGCCGAGAAGGGTTAGCGGTGTAGGGGAAGGAGGGACTTTACTTTCCCAGTGGGCTAAAGGGAAGGGAGCCAGTCCCCGACCGCTGCCCTCCGCGGGGAGGGGGAGAAGCACCAATGTCCGCGCTCCCGCTGCGGGAAGTAGAAGAGAAGGAGGTAGGAGCGTAGTAGCCGCTGCCAACCCAGAGCCGTCCCTCCAGAAACATCAGCCTGTCGCTGGAAGAGTTGGGGCCGTCTCCTCCTCGTCCAGCGCTGAGCCTGTGAGCGGAGCGGCCTGGCCAAGAGGATGAACGTGGATGAACTAGCCATTTCCAGCTCATTGCCCACTATCCCTTACTACAAGCTCGCCGACCTACGCTTCCTGAGCCGGGGAGCATCAGGCACCGTGTACTCGGCACGCCACTCCGACTGGCGCGTCCAGGTGGCAGTGAAGCACCTGCATTTCCAGACCCCACTGCAGGAAAGGTAATGACCCCCACCATCTCGGCCCCTACTCGGTGGCTACAGGTACAGGCGTCTCCACCACCAAAAAGCGCACACCCCCACTCCGCGTCTTCCATACTCCCTCCAGTGGCTCGGGGATGTGTCCAGGCTACACGCGCGTACGCACATGCTCACGTACCCAGGTGAGCGCTTCCCTACTACCCTTGAGCACCTCCTCCTGACTTGGGCTGACGTATGATTTGCAGTAGAAGCAGGTGGGAGAGGGGCATGGGGAAAATTTAACCTTCCGTCTTTTGCCCCCTTGTCCAGGGTAGAATCGGATTTCTGCCTATCTCCTAAATCCCAAACCCTACATACATCATTGCCATGCCATCTCTAAATGCACCTCCCTTTGCTTTGGTTTTGTGTTTGGCCTTTATGAACATGGCGTTTAAAACAGATATCTATATATGTGTGTGTCTGTATATATGAGTATATATGTAATATATGTTATGTATATAATTGGAGAGGCTCAGAAGGGTTTTTGTTTTGTTTTTGGTGGTTGTGCCTCTTGTTGATTGTCTTTAAGAAAGTTTAAATACCATAGCACATTACACTTGAGTTGTTCCTCCCATTCTGGAATTGAGGTCACTGGAAGCAGGAGAAACTGCCTCATTCTTATCGTGTGTAGTAACTGGTGAGAGACAGCCTCTAATGGCCTCTGACCGATTTAGGGGAAATGGCAAAAGTTTGAGGAAACTCTGCTTTCGATTTCAGTTGCAGGACTATTACCAACCGAATCCTTCAATTGTGTTTGTGCCAACTATAGGCATAGATGCTAGTCTGTGTGTGTACTATTCTTTCTTTTGTAATTTAACAGTACCCTACAGTCATTTTGCAATGGTCTCCCTTTCTTGACCGAAGCATTTTCCCCTCCCACAGAGTCATAGAAGGTTAGAGTCAGAAGGGACTTAAGAGGGCATCCAAGCAAGTCAACCCCTTAATTTTACGGGAGTGAAAACTGGGGCCCAGGGAAGTTAAGTGATTTGCCCAAGGTCTGATGGTGGCAGAAAACTCAGGGTTTTTTGTTTGTTTTAACTTCTAGGCAGAGGGACCTTTTTGCTACAAATGTATGTAGATTTGTAATATTAAACTACAGCATAGTGAAAGCTGTGGTGTGTGTTTTCTCTTTAAATACTCTTTTCAAATATTGCTCAGCCTCTGCCAGGTCCTGTCTCCCAGGACTGTCAGGATCTCTTCCCCTTGCTGTACTCCCCAACCCCCATTCCCACCTCATCTTCAGCTCTTAACTTCTAACAATGGGAAGTAGGCAGCAATTGAGGGTTGGGTAGCCCACTAGGCAGCTTACAGCATTAGCTGCTTGGGCGTCTCTGGAGTTTGATTCCTCTCACTTGTACTCTAGAGTCCAGTCTGATGATGTGTAGGATTTGATATTTGCTCGCTCTGGCCCCCTTTGTTGTCGAGTAACTGATGTTAGGACTTTATCTATAGCTGACTCCAAGTAGTTGTTAATAAGGGTGGAAATGTTTTAGGCCTTCCTATGCAAATATTATATGTAAATATTTTTGATGGGCCCATTAGATATTTGATATCTGATTTTGCCTGAGTAGGAGTAATGGGAATTTGAATATCACTTTATAGCTATAAGGTAACTCATCAATTCAGAGGTATTGTAGGGTAGTGGATAAAGTGAAATTGAGACCTGGATTTGAATCCTACCTTGGACATGACCTACTTAAGTGATCACAAGGGAGTCAGAGCCTTAATTTCCTCATTTGTAAAGTGGGGATAATACTTATACCCCTTCACTAAATTGAAGTGAATGTTTTGAACACCTTAACATGCTACATAAATGTGAATTGTGGTTCAAAGGACGAGCCTATGAAGTAGGGTATGCAAATAGTGTTATCCTATGTGGTAAATTAAGTGAGTCTTAGAGAGTCTCTAAGTGACGTGGCCAAGATCATAAAGCTAATATGTGGTAGCACAGGGCACTCTGATGGAGTCCTCATAATTCTAAGCTTAGTACTTTCTCCTGAACGACATTTCACCACCCCTCACCGTCTGAAAGAATTTTTAAACATCAATGAATGAAACTGCCCTCGAGTCCACTAAAGCTTTCCACAGTGGGTCCTGTTCTCTCCCCTTTGTTACCAAGGTCTTTGAATTTGGAATGCTTTCACTCTGGTCTTTAAGAAAGCAGCATTTACTTAGGCTAAGCACAGGGCTGGGCAGGCCATTGACTCACAGTTTCTTTCCTCACCTATAAAGTGAGGATAATAATGTTCTTGCTTCTTGGCCAGTGACCATTTTTCAGGACTAAAAATAAGAAAACATGGTCTGACAGAGAAATCACTTTTCAGAACACTGGTTTCAGAATCAGAGGACCTGGCTTTAATCCCAACTTACATAAGATCTGCTTGACTTTGAGAAAATGACTTAACTTCTCTGGGCCTCAGTTCCTTCATCTGTAAAATGAAGGAGCTGAACTAAATGGCCTCTAGCATTCCTTCCACCTCCAGAACTGCAATCCTTTAGCAAAACCTCACTTCTATTTTCTTGACTGTACTAGTTCTGTAAATCTGAGATATCTAGGTTCTAGAAATCTAGTTCTAGAAATCTGCGATATCTAGGAACAGTAGCTGTGAGAACTCATCTACGATTTTGTCTTTTGTTACCATAAGTGAGAATGAGGGGGTAGGAGGGGTTTGGAAGGGGGAAGGTATTTATGCTGACATAAAACTTCTTTGTTCTTATTTCAGAGACAGGGTGACATTGTGCAACTTCTACCTTCTATCCAATTAGCATTGTGGTTGAAATGATAGATCCTCCTCCTCCTCTAGAGAAGACAAAAGGAAAGAGAAAAATGGAGTGGGCAGAAAATCAGACTAGATGTTTGGTGCCCTGTAAAGGGAACAACTGATTTTTCATTTTCCAAGTACATGTTTTAATAGTATATAGATAAAATCTGATGGGCTTATTTCCTCCAGTCTGAACCACTGATGTGTGTTAAAACCATTAAAAAAAAATTAGCTCAATTCTTCCTAAAACTTGACAAAGAACATTGCTCCCATGTGCTATCTTCCCCCACCCATTTACCTGCCAAGCAAGAATCTTCATCTGACTTTTGGTACAAGTGAAGGGTCAGGGGAGAAGAGGGATCTTCCATTCAGTTCGGTAAACATTAGTTGAGATCCTATTTGCTGGTCATTATGCTAGCTAGGTATTATTTGAAGCGGAACTGAAACTTTAGGCCCAGGACTACTATTTAACATTATGTCTCTTTGTCCAGGAGTCATCAGCTCTACCTTCTTCTCTCCTGCTCTTGGGCAATGAAATTATTCATAAATGGTGTCTTGCTTGCCTCGACTTCTTGAAACAGTTCAGAGCAAGTCTGAGTGTCTGGTCCAGAATATCTCTCCTTCTCCTTAGTCCAGGAAATGCCAAGAGGTTGAAGTGACTTGAGAGTCAACCCATCGTGACCCAGAAATCAGCTCCTCCTCCTCCTGACTTTCCTGTTGTTGTTTTTCAATTAATGACACTGCCATTCTCCTAGTCACTTAGACTTGAAACCTTGAAGTCCTCTTTGACTCTTCCTGTTTGCTGTTCCCGGTCTCTGGTCAGCCCCCCTGTCTTAAGTGATTCTTCAGTGTCAATACAATCTATCCTCTCCTTTCCTTTGCTACTACTCCAAGCCCAGATCAGTCCTTCACTGAATCTTCCCTAAACTATTCCCTCTAATCTCTCTCTAAGATCCTAATTTTATCTTGTATCCTTCTCTATATTAATCTTCCAAAAGAATACCTCTAATTATGTCATTCCCCTTCTTAGAAACCCTTGTCATTTCCTCATTGTTTACCAAAGTCAATATTCTTTAGCCTGACATTAAAGGCTCTCCAGTATTATGCCCAGTTAGCCTTTGTCTTCTTATCTCCTATTTTTTCTGATACCTACTCAACAGGGCTACTTATCAAAAAAGCCCAACAATTTCCTTTTGCTATTCTTTTGTTCTATCAAGAGGAAACATTACATAGTAGTTAGAGTGCTGACCTAAGAGTCAGAAAGAGTCAAGACCAGGGTTTGCGTAGCACTTTAGACAGCTATTTGAATGTCTGACACTGAGCAAGGTTAAGCCTCTCAATCTTGTAGGCAACTCTTTCACACACAAGAAGAGGCCTGCTTGAAGTGTTTGAGAGAGTTTCCTTAAGCAAGAGGCCCATATAGCAATGAAGTCACAGGTCTAGATCCTACTAATCTTTTGTTTGTATCTCTCTCTCCATCTGCCCTCTCCCAGCACCATCTCCACCTGTCCATATCCTACTAGTTTTTCCAGGACAAACACTGGAATCCCAGCTCTGCCACAAATCACTGGATCTCTCTGGGACTCAGTTTTCTCATCTGTAAAATGAAAGGGGTGGATTAGATGGCTTCTAAGGACCCTTCTTGGACTAGGAATCAGGAGATTTGAGTTCAAATGCTAGTGTACCACTATGTGACCTTAAGCAAGTCACTCTCCAGGCCTCAGTTTCCTTATTTGTAAAATGAGGGATTTAGACTTAATGATCTTCAAGGTCCCTACTAGCTCTAATAATCCATAAATCTATAGAACTTTCTTCTTTGTACTGTAGATTTTTTCTTTTATTCCTTCCCCTTACAAAATTATAAATTCCTTAATGGCACACAGTCCCATTTTTTAAAAATCACTGACATCTAGCATAGTGCCTTGCATACAGTACCCATTCAATAAATTCTTATGGGAGAGTTTTGTTCATTCCAAAAATAAGAAAATCTTTGTTCATTCCAAAGAAATACAAAAGGGGAGGTCGAGGTAAGGAACCACCTGGGTGGGTTTCTAATGCCAGTGTTCTTTGCCTAAGTCCCTAACAAAATATAGTTTGAGGGCTTTTGAGCCTTGTACAGCTAGTCTCTTCAGATTTTCTAAATCCACAAAATTCTAATAGGATACTGAGGATTTTGTTTTGTGGGGGAATTTAATACAGAGAAAGCAAAGGTACTGGACCTAGGATGTTTTTGATATATAGGGAACTTTAAGATGAGGAAATTCTTTCTACCAGTGCAGGCAGGTCAATAACTTCTTTGCAATCTGTGGTTTAGAGAGTTGCTGATGGTGACTTGATCAGGGTCAAACATTCAAGTAGCTGTTAGAGATAGGACTGGAAAGTCTTCCTGGCTTTAAGGCCAGCTCTCTAACCTGCTGTCTTCATGTTACAGACAAATGCAATGTTTTCTTCAGTCATTTATTCAATTTACAGTGTTTACTAGTTACAGTTCACTCACTAAACTGATTCTAATTTAGGGGTTCTCCAAACACATCTTTTCTCTTGTCCTAACTAAAGCTTAATATTCATAATAGTCCCATACATCGGTCTAGCACTTCTTACCATTCAGATGCTTTCCCTGATGTTATTTTATCCCCATAACAATCCTGTGCAATGGGTAAGATAGCTGTTGCCCCATTTTCAAGATGAAGAAGCTAAAACATACAGCATTTAAGCAATGTGCCAAAGGTCATACAGCCAATTAGTGGTGAATTCAGGACTAGCTAATGGAATTGCCATAAGTACTCATTTTTCATTACTTACAATAAATTATGCATTTTCTTCTTCTAGTGAAATAAGTGATATATTAAGAGAAGCCAAGATTTTACACAAAGCAAGATTTAGTTATATCCTTCCAATTCTGGGAATTTGCTATGAGCCTGAATTCTTGGGAATAGTCACTGAATACATGAACAATGGATCACTCAATGAGCTTCTGCACAGGGTAAGGACACCAAATTTTCTGTAATCGTTGCTTTCTCTTTGTTTTGCATGGTTGATGTGGTTCATAGAGTGAATCCTGTTTGTTCAGCTTAGCTGGGGAAGGAAAACCTCTGATGAATGAAAACAAGAGTTAATCAAAGCCCTCAGTGGTAAAGCTTTCATTATTGCCAGTATGTATTCGGTTGATGTCTATTCACATAAGTGAAAATACTGTTGAGGCCACCTCTGCATTGGGTGAGAGAGGGACCACTCCCTAGTGCGTTACCTTTAGAACAACTGTCCCTTGTACTCATCTGTATTCACTTTTGCTGAGATCTGATAGGGAAGGGGCAGAAATGAGAAAGTGCAAGGTAATAGCTAGCTAGGGGTTTAACCCTAGGATTCCTGAGACAATTGTTACTTTTTCACTGTGAGTATTTACACCTCAAAAATCAGCAAATGCTACCAGTTGGACTTGATTTATTGTCTTATTGGTTGTCCAGACTTAAGAAAGTGATAAAAAGTTAATAATGCAAATTAAACTTTAAAACTTAAAAGTATTAAAATATAATTATGCTATATTTTAGACATATATTAATTATATTACTGTATATTGATATATAAACATTAAGATATAAAATACTTAAAAGTATTAAAATATATAAAATAATGTAATATAACATATTAAGATATATTAATTATATTATTATGTTAATATATATTTAAATATAAAATAATTCAAAGTATTAAATTTAAAAGTATTTCATGCATCCTTGGAGAATGGCTATTAATCATTTATCAGCACCCTGTTGTTAATAGCTTTCATCCACAAACTTTGCAGCTCACTCCTCATTGCAAAACCAATTTTATCATAAGAGAAATTTGGATTAAAAGTATAGTGACACCTATTCCTATAGCTCTGACTAAACCAGTTTAGTGAATGTATGTGATATAAATTGAAAGGATATTGCCTTTTTAATATATCTAGAATCTATTTTTTAATTTAATTATCTTTTTACTGGCTTTTATGTTTTTACTTTAAGACAAGGGTTCTTAACCTGAAGTCCTTGTTTTTGTTTGTTTTAATAGTCTGATAGCTATATTTCAATATTGATTTCATTTGCTATTATACGTATTTTATTTTACGCGTTCAAAAACAATCTCAGGACTCCATGACTCCAAAAGAGTTAAGAACTTCTGCTCTAATATAAAATATAAACTTCCTGTTTGGCTTTTAAAATCCTTCTCTACTTGGCCCCAACATATCTCTCCAGCCTATAGTACATTCATACTATTTTAAAAATCAGAATTTAAAAATGTTCAGTATTTAGAAAATCTGAAGAAATTAAGCTGTACAAGGCTCAGATGAGCTTAACAAACCATATTTTGTTAGGAATTCAGGCAAAGAATATTGACACTAGAAATCTGTCTAGGTGGATACTTACTTATCTGGGCTTCCCTTGTCCTATCTTTCTTCTATAAGAATATTCTTCCATATGAATATATTATATCTGCAGTATATGCTGTATGACAGTACGTTATTCTCCATCTTAACTCTTGAAGAGCCAAAGAAACTGGCCTTTCTGTTCTTCACACATAGCATTCCATGCCTGGAAGACTTTCTCCACCTTCACTTCCACCTTTTGAAATTCATGGTACTATTAAACACAAAGCCTTTCCTCATCCCCACAACTGCCTAGGGCCTGACCTTTCAAACTATGTTGTATTTTTAAATTACTTAGTATTTATTTTCTTTACATTTATTCAGTGTATATTACCATATATACATGCTATCTCTCTTAACATTATATTAAGACAGCACAGACTTAAATTATACATTATCTTCCAATTCTGCTATCTCTTGGAGAGTGTCAAAAAGTATAAGGAGATCCCCTCACTATATATACACACACATACATATACATACATATGTATGTAAACATACATACATACGTGTACATATAAAAATATATACATACATATACACACACATAGGGTGCTAGGCTAAGTGCAAGAGACAATTCTAAAATGCTTATAGTCTAGCCAACTCAAGCTGGTCTGCCCCATTCCCAAGGTCTATTAGCCCCAAAACTGACCCAAGGAGTTTCCCCAAGAGTAGCCTTAGGCTTTTAGGAGAGGCTGTTTTTTCGGTAACATTGAGAAAAATTAACCTAGAGCTTGTAAGGAATGATTCATTCTTGGGCTTTTATTTTAACTGGCTGATTTTATGAGTGTTTTGCCTCCCGAAAAACTATCCTTTCTTTCCTGGCCTAAAGGGTTCCTTTTAATGGACTGAAGGGTCATTTTAAAAAATGGTTACCTAATAATTACTCATATTTATGTTGTACTTTAAGGTTTACAAAGCACCTTCTTTACAGTAATTCTGCAGGTAGGTAGTACCTAAGGGTGTGCTGGGAAATGTTGAATAACCATCTCTATCCATACTTTCTACTTTTAAGTTTAATTTACATTATTAACATTTTCTCTATCACATTCTTAAATCTAAACAACCAACAAAATAGTAAATTAAACTCTGATTTGTAGCCCTTGCTGATTTCTAAGATATAAATGCTCCCACTGAAAATTTAACAATTAGCAATGGCTCCTCAATAGGATTCAGGTCTAGCACTCTCCCACACCTAAGCCATTTTTCTCACAAAGGTGCAGGAGTTAAGATACTAGGAAATTAAATGGTTTGACCACAGAAATTAACAATTTTTAAATGTAAACCCAGGACCTGAGAATTAAGTCTTCTTATCCAACATTTTTAACACAAGTGTAAAATACTATGCTATTTGGTCATCATATATGGTTATTTTGTCGTTTTGATAAAGAAAAATGACTATCCCGAAATTGCTTGGGCACTGAGATTCCGAATTCTGCATGAAATTGCACTGGGAGTAAATTATCTTCACAATATGAACCCACCACTGCTGCATCATGACTTGAAGACTCAAAACATCTTATTGGATAATGAATTTCATGTTAAGGTAAATAGAGAATTTTTGTTTTGCTTCTATCTCAATTCTAGAGCCTATACTAAGTGTTCTGTAGTTTATAATTAAGCTAGTAACTTTGATGTAAACCCAAGGGTGATGCAGTATAGTTCCTGAACTCATAGAAAACATAAGTACTCCTAAATTCTGTTTCGGAAAATAGCATTGGGTATACATTTAACGTTTGAAATTTTTTTCCCCATACTTAAAGCTTGAGAGTTGGAAGGAACCCAGATGTCAGTTGGTCTAACCCAGGGGTGGAGAGCATTGAGGTCTTCTCGTGGCCTTCTTGGTCCTTGTGTGCGGCCTTTTGACTGAGTTCAGGTTTTACAGAACAAATCCTTTTATTAAGAGGATTTCTTCTATGAAGTTTGGATTCAGTCAAAGGGCTGTACTTGAGGGCCTAGACTCACATGTGGTTTTGAGGCCACAGGTTCCCCACTTCTGGTCTAACCCCTAACCCAAACTTGAATTCTGTCTGCAGTAGGTCTGTCAGGTTATCGTCTGGCCTCTGTGTTGGGACCACCAAAGAACAGAAACTTAGGACATTACATTAATCTCCTTCCTTCCTGTCCTTAGAAACAGCTCATTCTAATTTTGGACTGTCTTGGTTGTTAAGTTTTTCTTTAAGTTAGCTGAAATCTACCTCCCTGTAATTTGAACAAATTCAGAACCAACAAACTTAACAAATACGTAGCAAGCACTTACTGCGTACAGAACACTATGCTATGCACTGATAAAAATACAAAGTTTACCTAAGATGAGATCTCTGCCCTAGGAAGCTTACAGTCTTGTAGGAGATTACTTCATTGAATCAGTGATCTCTGTGTGCACTCCTTCCAGCAAGTGCAGATTATAGCCCGTACACACCCTTTAATTTTATACTAGTATTGTCTATATCCTCACATAAATCTCCCACAGGAGATCTGCCCATCATGCCTGAGGCCTTCCTCTAATTGTCTTGCCATTGCATAGGTACCAATAGATTATATATGCTGTACATGAATATCCCATTGAATATCCATGAACAGCCTTCTTTTCTGGTCATCTGTCCTCCCACAGCCTCTCACAATTTGTCATTGTGACATTACGCATTGAAGGTCACTTGTGCCTGCCTTGAACCTCTCCATGACCCTTTGGGTGATCTTCAACTTAATGTCTTCAGAAATTTTAGTATTCTATATTGTGCCAGTATATGGCATTACTGGAAGAATATTGGTGCTAAATGATGAAACTTTGTGTCAAAAAGGTTGGAATCAGTAAAAGCTTTGTCTAGTTTCCCAAAGATAAGCCACCAGACCACTCTCTTCCTTCTATTAATTTGAGACCAAATTCACTATCCTCCTGCAGGGTTAGGTAGCCCAAATACATTTCTATCTAATTGCATTTTATAGCTTAGATAATAGGTAGTCTTTATTCACTTAGTTTTTCCTGAGTGGTAGTTACACTGAATTCTTGAGTAATTGTGGATCTAACTTAGGATACTGGACAGTATTCAAGGATGGACATCACTGAATATACAAATAACTCTTATACAAAATAGCACCCTGGGGAGGTACCAATTTCTACAAAAATAGCCAGCACTTACGGAGCATTTTGCAGTTGATAAAGCACTTCACTTCCATTATTTTATTTGATCCTCACAATAGCCCTTTTAGATAGGCAGTACAAGTAGTATTACCCCAATTTTACAGATGAGGAATAAGAGGCACAGTGAGGTTAAGTAACTTAGTGGAGAAGATAAAGCTAATAAGTGGCAGAGCTGGGATTTTAATGAAGGGTTTCTAATACCACATCCATTTTATTCTATTACAGCTACCTCTAGCAGTAAGGTGTATGGGAGGTACAGTTAGGTGGTGCAGCGGAGAGAGCACCAGCCCTGAAGTCAGGAGGACCTGAGTTCAAATCCAGCTTCAGACTAAACTTTGACACTAGCTGTGTGACCCTGGGCAAGTCACTTAACCCCAATTGCCTTAAAAAGAATAATAATAATTATAAGGTGTATGGGAGAAAATATTGTTGCTGACTCAGAGGATCAGAGAAGTCTTCAAGGAGGAGATGGTATTCAATTGGACCTTATAGGATAAGCAGGGTTTCAATTAGGCAAAAAGGTTAGGAGATATACCAAGCATAGGGAAAATTGTGGACAAAGGCATGCAGCTAGAAAAGTCCAAGATATGGTAATGAGACACAATAGTACAATTCAGTTAGAGTGTAGAGTGGATAAGAGGAAGTAGTATTACAAAAGACTCAAAGAAAAAAAAAAGATGCTAGATTAAGAATAAATGAAACCAGAACTTTAATTTTTGTTGTTGTTGAGTCATTTCAGTTGTGTTTGACTCTTTGTCATCCCATTTGGGGTTTTCCTGGCAAAGAGACTGTAGTGATTTGCCATTCCCTTTTCTAGCTCATTTTACAGATGAAGAAACTGAGGCAAATGGGATTAAGTGACTTGCACAGGGTCACATAGCCATTAAGTGCCTGAGGCTGGATTTGAAATCAGGTCCTCCAGACTCCAGTCCCAACTCTCTATCCACTGTGCCACCCAGCTGCCCAATCATTAATTAAGATATTAATTAATAATTAATACAGTAATCTCTGATAAAGTGAAATTGAAAATCACCTAAAGGGCAATGCTAGGCATAATTGAGTTGCAATATATTTCCAGTGACAAACTATGAAAGAAGGAAACAAGCATTTATTAAGCACCTACTGTTACCATGCCATATGCTAAGCGCTTTACAAATATTACCTCATTTGATCCTCACAACAACCCTGGGAGGTAGGTGCTAGTATTATACCCTTTTTATAGGTTGAGGAAACTGAGAGGGAAAGAGGCTAAGTGACTTACCTATAGTCACAGCTAGTGAGTATGTGAAGCTACACTTGAACTCTGGTCTTCCTTATTCCAGGCCCAACATGTTAGTCACTGCATCACTGCCTTGCCTATGAGGAGCGTTATGATAATAGCTGTACTGCACCCAAAGTCCCCAGACCTAAGTTTGAATCCCAGTTCGGTCATTAACTTGCGATGTGACCTTGGGCAAATCACTTAACCACCCTGAGCCTCAGTTTTGTTTTGTTTTTTGACCTGTAAAAAATGTAGGAGTTGGAATAGATGATCTCCAAGAATCCTTCCAATTCTAAATCCTGTGATTTTTGTTTCAAAGAAGTATCTTGTAGGGGCAACTAGGTGGCACAGTGGATAGAGCACCAGCCCTGAAGTCAGGAGGACCTGAGTTCAAATCCAGCCTCAGACCAAACACTTGACACTTACTAGCTGTGTGACCCTAGACAAGTCACTTAATCCCAATTGCCTTAAAAAGAAAAGAAAAGGAATATTTTGTAAACCTTAATGTGTTACTAGTAATGTGAGGTAGTGTTATATTTTCTAACAAACCTCGTTAAGGACTAGATAAAATGAAAAATAGAGAGAAGTGTATTCAAATACAGGGCATGAAAGAACCAACAGTGAAAGTCTCAGAACCTGATTTTGCCACTAACTTGGGTATATGGTGTCACTTTAATGTCTCTGTGAGAGGAATAAAGGAACAAGCATTTATTAAGCACCTGGCCTATGCCAGGCACTATTCTAGGCACTTTTCAAATATTATTTTGTTTGTTCCTCACAACAGTTCTGAGAGACAAGTGCTATTATCATCCCCATTTTACAGTTGAGGAAACTGAGGTTAAGTGACTTGCCCAAGATCACACAACTTTTTAGTATCTGAGCCTGGATTTTGAAGTCGGGTTTTGCTGACTCCAGGCCCAGTGTTCCAGCTGACTCCAGGCCCAATTTTCTAGCCACCATCCCACCTCACTTGGGCTAAGTTGTGTACAATCCTACCAAACCTGAACATTTTGATTCCAAAAATGTATTCTCCATTTCCTGTCTGCTTGGCACTGTAGACAAAAGAATTATGTTGTAATTCTCCAATACATAGAAAGGTCTGTTTGTGGTTGCATTAATGTGAGTGTTCTCTCCATAGTCAATAATCCCTTCCACCCTTAGTTCAGGGGTTCTAGACTGTTTTTGTGTGTCCTGGTCAGAATGATGAATTTAAGCGCATAAAATAAAATACATAAGATTCCAAAGGAAACCAATTGTACTGACATACAATTATTAAAATATTGTATAAACAAGTTAATAGACCACAGATTAACTACTCCTTGCCTTGGGAAGTATACTTAACGGACTCCAGAAATGTTCATCACCTGGTGACCAGCCTTCTTGGCCCTTCTCCGGTTCAGTTCAGCTCAGCTCAGTTGTTAATTACACAACTTATCACTTGATCATACTCAGAGCCTTTGCAACTTGCCAGGGACCTGCTAAAACTTGTACTCCACTAAGAACCCACGGCCACTTCTTTGCCATGATGAGACATCTGAGTTGGGCTTTAGTGGAAGCCGCTTAGATTAGCCCTGTGAACATTCATATGAGGAAGTAAACATTAGTCAGCATCAAAGGGCTATAAAAATCCCAATTCCGAAGCTTGTAAAGTTAATACGCTTTGTTATGTACCATGATTTTCATTTTGGTTTCTATCTGCAACTGTCAGTGATTTTCAGTTAATAATTATTCTATTGGATAATTACAGCAATATGTTAGATGTAATTAAGATACCTGACAAATTAATCTTGATTACAGTAGTCATAATTTTAAATAATTTGCTAGCTACAGAAATAGCAGTATAACCTGTAAAAGTTATATAATATGCATTCAAAATACACTTTTTAAAAACTGCCCTAGCCTTGTTTATAGTATGAGTATACAGTGTGTTTTCTGGTTCACAAAGGCAGTAGAATTGTTTCATTCTTATACTTTGAGACTTGATCCCCTCTTTTTGTTTTGTTGGAGATTAATGGAAATGTTTTCACAGGTGACACAGCAATGAAAAAATATTTTACTTGTCATAAAGATAGAAAATAACTTTTTACCTCTGTCCATAAATAGTCACCCAACATTTTTTAAAGTGTTGTGTCAAGTTTTCATT